CACTAGAAAGACCCTTTGCCCTTTATCGTGAACAGCTGGATTGGCTCTTCTAAACCAGGATCACTGTTCCGAGGCTCCCAAAGGACATCAAGTACTCTTACCCTCACCAGTCCATAACTACGTGCAAACTGCATACCAACAACAAATAATGGTTGGGGTAAAAGAAATGCTAATATACACATGTAACCCAACATCATCCCCAGGCCCCTCCCCTGCTAGATGCTTGTGGTAGAGACATGTAGACAGGCAAAATCAGAGAACTGGGGAGTTCTTAAATACTAGTTTGTCAGTCTGGAATTGCAGATTACATCCCTTCAGTCTGCAAGCACTACTGAGCCCTCTTCTAGACAACCAGCCTTTCCCTGTTTGGCTGGCTAGGCCACTGAATCAAGCTACATGGAGTACACTGCAGGGCATCCTAGGTGGCTTACTATGGCACAGAGAAGATGGTGGCCAGCTGCCACTGTGCTCCGGGAGCTGCCACAACACAAGCTGGAGAATGGATGGAATGAAATCATTCAGCAAGAGGAAACAAATGAAACACTATGCTATATCCGAGGTGAATAATGGTAACCAAGAATCATTGGTGATGCTGTGCCAGATGTTGAAATATTGGGTGAGGCATCCTATCATAGATGATAGTGAAAACAAGCTGCGCACTGATGGAGTGGGTGGCAACTGCTTCAAGGGACACGACTCCTCCTTTGCTGAAAAATAATAGTATTTGACTTGCTTGCAGGGCTGTTTCTAGTTACTACTGGAAATGACTAAAGAAAATTGAGATGATGAAAAAGGAAGCCTACAGTATATGTTGAGTACAGGAAAGAGAAATAATACTAGACAGGTTTAATTTGTTTACAGATCTAATTCTAAGACCTCATGCCAATTTTCTTAGTGATAGAACATGTTTTGAACAACTGCATCAGCAGTTTCAGATTTAAGGAGGCCTTTCCTATCAAAAGGTACATCCTTTTTTATGTCCTTGTATTTTCTGGGAATCACACAGAATGAAGCCAGGCATGCATCATCAATGCAGTAACTCCTTACGTCACATCAGCCATTCCATCATCTATGTTTCTATATGAATTAATCTGCTTAGCTGTAAGATGGTGTGCTTCATTCTGAGACTATGATGCTAGACACTTCTGATCATCTGATAAGCAGGAAATAAAGGTTGTTGTGGGTTTTTTGGGCTCTTTGGCCGTGTTCTGAAGGTTGTTCTTCCTAACGTTTCACCAGTCTCTGTGGCCAGCATCTTCAGAGGACAGCACTCCATCCTCTGAAGATGCCAGCCACAGCATCTACCGGCCACAGGCTTCTACCTTTTCGCATAAGAACTGCTGATAGGCAACTAAAGCAGCTTGATAACTACTAATTCTGATTGTGAGAATATGTAACCTTCTGCTCTCCTTGTTGAGTGGTACTGAATAAGGCTACTGTCTTCCCTTTCTCTTCATAGCTTCAACAATGACTGAGTTAGTAGCAAGAGGCTGGAAAAGGAAATCTTCGCCTTCCTCTTATGCACAATATTAGTTGTCAGTTTTGCTATACATAAATGGTACAGAACATGATTTAAGTCAAGACTGTCATATCAGATGTAGGAGCATGCGAAAAAGCAGGATTTGTCCTATCCCTAAAATATTTCTTGTTGATGCAGTTAAAAATTAGCTCAGATACTGGAGAAGGTGGAGCCTTCAATAATTAAAGACTGTGCTATGCCATTTCTGATCCATGCATGATTTAATGTTTTCTGATGGGAAAGAGGGATACATCACCTATCACAGGGTCCAGTGAAGAGATCAAAGATGACAGAGAATCTGGTGAAGATGACTCAGAGTCATAATCATCTGTAGATGATGAAGAGTGAGAACAGATGGTTGGTTCAGTATCTTTATGTATGTATATCTACCATAGATTGCACCAACACTGGAGGGGACATCACCAGGAAAGACTAGACACTAGATAAGATATATAACTGTGTCAATGCTGGAACACAGTAGCAAAGCCCAGACCTGTAAAGGCTGTCACAATTTCAGTGATAATACTGGCATGAAAAGAAGTATGTAGTCTCCTGAGACTAATGGAAGGACTGCAGTTATACGAGAAGCACTAGAAATTGCCAATGAAGCCAGAAGCAGAGCAGAGAAACAGAGAGCCAATGACAGACATGCAAAATTCGCAGAGTAAAAAAGTGTTCTATGAGCAACTAGGGCATAGCAGAAAGCTATCCTGGCCCCAAAAGCAAGGTCTTGGCAGGCTTAGACACAAAAGAATCCAGGGAAGTCCCAAATCAGGAAAAGGCAATGCACAGAACTAGCAAACAGTCCAGTACCACTGGGAAACAAACAGGAGTATAAGGAGTATAGGCCAAAAATCATACACAGCAGGGGTCAGGGATACACAGATACTGGAGCAAGAAGAGACATCATCATTTAAAGCATGACTCATAATTCCAAACTCCAAACTAATTCCATAATTCCAGTGGAACCCCACCAAGAGCACAGCTATAGGCTAAGAAAGTGGCTCAATTGCAGAGGTTAGTCTCCTTGGAAGTAAGAGCTTCCTTTGAGGAGACCTCCTACTATGAGAAGTACTCTTGATAAGTACTTCCTTGCAGCCAAGCACTACAGATCATGCCTTTAATCTATGGTATTGTAGTTTAGGCAGTGACTCTGTCTCTAGCACTGAGCTACGGGGTTCAATCTCCTAGGCGCCTGAGGTCCAGAGTCTATAGGATGCAGCAGTTCCTGCCTCCATCAGATGGGGAGAGTGTTCATTAGTGGGTGTTCAAATCTGACTAGATCCAGCCATGTTTTTGTTGGTATTTGCAGGATTATGAACTATACTGCAACAGACAGTAAAAAATGAAAAATCATAGAGGTTGACTTTAAATGGTCTTTTTCTCAATACCTAAGAAATAGGAAGCAATCTCAACACTGAGAACAGTAAGTTCAATATTGAGAGCAATAAGTAGTTGTTTCTGGAAAATATTGTTGGTGGACACCTATAATAGCTCTAAGGTTTTTAGTTTCTATAAGAGTGGAACTCTGGTATCTCCAATACAATATCTTCCCAAGCTGTTTCCCAGTGATACCATTCTGAATCATCCAAGGCATCTCATCTGGATGAATATTCTACTGTGCATTCAGCAGATCTGTGTTTCATGATCTCTACAATAGGATCCTGTACAGCACTATGAACCATGTTCTTACCTCTGACATACTCTTTAGAGAAGAATCCATACAGACCACCTCATCAGAAGAGCTGTAAGAGAGATCTACTTGAAAGCATGCTAACGCTAAAATCCCCTAGTTGAGCAGGGTTGATATGCCAAGAAGGTGTTTACATGGTGAGGAAATTGTCACCAACAGTGTTTTGATGAATAATGGGCATTTAAAGCAGGACTTTAACAAATGAATGTCTCTGAGGTGAAGAGACATTTTGAATGGTCATCCGAAATGGGCAATCCCAGCCTCCTGTAGTCAATGCATTTCCTGATCAGAAAAAACTGAGGTCATAAACACTCAGACAATGCCTGGAAAGTCTTAGGAGAAAAAGCTGCTAACCAAAGTAACCAGAAAGGAAAATACATACAAAATAAAATATGGGTCAGCAATTGTGTGAAAACTTGAACAAGGAATGGAGATACAACTAATGATCTTTTGCTGAAGCATGTGCAGCCATAAAAGGGACGTGGTGGCGCTACGGGCTAAACCGCAGAAGCCTCTGTGCTGCAAGGTCAGAAGACCAGCAGTCGTAAGATCGAATCCACGCGACGGAATGAGTGCCCGTCGCTTGTCCCAGCTCCCACCAACCTAGTGGTTCGAAAGGATGCAAATGCAAGTAGATAAATAGGGACCACCTCAGTGGGAAGCTGACAGCGTTCTGTGTCTAAGTCGCACTGGCCATGTGACCACGGAAGATTGTCTTCGGACAAAACACTGGCTCTATGGCTTGGAAACGGGGATGAGCACCGCCCCCTAGAGTCAAACACGACTGGACAAAAATTGTCAAGGGGAACCTTTACCTTTACCTTTACCTTGTGCAGGCACGAAGAGTGGAAATGTGGGGACAGAATTCTTGCCAAAATCTACTGAGAACTAGAAGGTTCTGGACATAGTGCTGCACAGGTGCAAGACCTCTATATGTGAATCACAAAGCCCACAAAGAAAAACCTGAAATATACTTTGACTAAAAATCTGTTGAGCTGCTGTGTGTATGCAACAGAAATGACATCAGCAGCAGCAGCAAATCATCATGAATTAAAGGCAAATCACTGCTGACTAAAGGCAAGTTGCCACTAATTAAATATGATTTCAAGGTGCATGCATCCCATCTACAATCAATGATGCAACATGCATCAACAAATAAAGCCTTCAATTAGCAGTGATTTGCTGCTGCTGCTGCTTACGTCCTTACCACTGTGCACACAGAGCTATGCAAGAGGATTGAGCCAATGCTTAATGATAGAATTTACTTAGGAAATGATAGGCCATGCAATCCTATAAATGTCCAATCAGAAGTAAGTCTACCCGAATTCAGCTGGGTTTGTTCCTGGGTAGATGAGCAAAGGATGTAAGATTTTAACCTGTCATTTACCAAGGAAAAATCCACAGTTCTTTAAGATATTTGCATCAGAATAGAAGTGAGATTTTGTGCTTAAAATAAAATAGATGGATGTGTGATAATACATAATAAAGATAGGGAAGTAATTATACAACAGATTATTAACTCATCAGTTTCTTTTTATATAAGAATAATTGAATGCACATATCTAAATAAAAGGAGAGGCTTCATCTTTCCTTTTCCTCACATTAAAGGCTTTTATCAATTTATCCAATTAGGCCATCCTTTATTTATAAGACCGAAAAAAAATACTACTACAGCATATTAAATGGGACGTAAAGTAATGGTTAAACAATTATATTACATCACTTTCCTTGTATGTTCACAGATATTTTCTTGGCTACCATGTTAAATGCAGTCCATTATGTCCTTACCTTAGGCCATGTCTGCATTCTGTACAGGTTTGGAATTCAGTGCATGTCTTACAGTTTTCACTGCATTTACGGCAGACAATCCTATCTGAAAATAAAAAGAAATGCAATCTAGAAAAAATTACTTCAATTACATTCAATAAAATGTTATGGCACTGTCTCATTGTTTATTTCTTTCTCTATCCTGATGTCATAAATAGGAGCTAAAAGACTAAAACTGAGTATTAAGTGCTACAAAAGCACTAACTTTCTTCTGAACATTTGAATTATCTATGAATGTATGATATTTTATTTCATTGGAAAGAAATACTGTGTAATAAAGTTCGATATAACTGTGCAAAACTCACAATAATGCTGAAAAATACCAAGTTATTTTTAACATTTAAAAAATAAAGCCCTATGTGCTGTTCTTGACAGCACATATCAGTGAGTCTTATACCAACAACTCGCTTTGTATAGATATGTATGTACTTAATCAGGGATTGTGTTGCTGATAGCATTTTTACCATAATCTACTGGTTTTCCATTGTAGTGATTTAGGCTTTTGCGTTGAATATTGTGCTAACCATTAAGATAAAAGGCCAAATTGCCATTTAGCAAATGAAATTGTCATTTGGAAAGTACGTCAGCTCACAATCCAACCTAACTCAACCCAATCAACCAACCTGCGGGTGTGACCCTTGCTCAGTTTCAAATTGACTCAATACAGAAAATCTATTGTTGTCATATTCTCCTGCCTTAATTCAGGAAATGGGCAACACAATTAGGATAGATTAGATAACAAATCCATGAAAAGTCACATTCTGCTTGTCTCACAGCCTACAACGTCTGAGAGTATGAGAGTCCATTCTTGATTGCTGTATCAAAAGTGCAGAACTGTGTTTCACAGAAGATCCATCTGGCATCTAATTGATGTAATTCTCTCAAAGACTGAAGCCATTTATGTTTAACTGGGTATCTGCCCTAACAGATGGTTGATTTTAATGCATCCTTTGTTTGTTTGTATGTTTGTTTTTAAAATCGCTTTTCTTACTTGCATTTATTTTATTATTTATTATTTATTTAATTTATATACCACCCACACTACCCAGAGGTCTCTAGGCGGCTTACAACAATGTTTAGGCTGTATTTTAAAAATTCTGATGTAAGGTACCGTGAGTATCCAAATTAAAACAGAAAAGCATTGTATAAATAACATCACATTACTGTACAAATTTTCAACATGAGATCTTCCAATTATTTTCAAAATTATATATAAAATTATATATATAAATACATATATAAACAACTTACTACTATCCAGATAAAATCCATCAGGGCAGCTACTAACACAGCTCTGGGTTTCTTCATTGATATAATAACCAAGTTTACAGGTATTACACTGATCACTGTGACTTCCAAAGCATGTATCACAGTTGGGTGAGCATTTTTTGCAGCGTTTCTTATCTGCACTGTAGTGACCAGGTGGACAGTTGGGAACACAGATTCTACATTGTACAAGATAATAAAAAATAGCATTATCACTGAATTTGGCAAAAAAAAAAAAAAAAAAAAAAACTAACAAAGTTCCCTAGAACAGTGTATTTCCAACCATGACAGATTATCTATGGAAATACAGCCTGCGTATGCATAAACCAAGCATTTTTTTGTTATGTCTTAAGTACAACACTATATTCCCATCAACTTTTATACTTCTTTATTCAGTGCATAACATATGCCAGCTTTGGGAAAAATTAAATCCTATTCCACAATTATTATTTATTGCCATTTCAATGCATATCTTGCCATTTTGTACACAGTAAAGAAGAAACTTGAAGAAACAACAATAACAATGTAATAGAAACATATTTTAAAGACAATGACATTTAAAAAACCCTCAGTAACCAGAGCATTAAAAAAGGAAGAACAGATGAAACAAATACAAAGCACAAAGAAAGATTTCAATTCAAATATATAAAGATAAGCAATGAGCTAGCTTATTGGCTGACTAGCTCATCTGCTGATGCCAGCAATTGAGAGTTATGTTCTCCAGGAGAGGAGTCCAGACTGTGTGTGCTTGGACAAGCTGCAACATTTCAGCATGCTTCCAGAAGGAAGGACTATTCAATGGCACATGCTTTTTTCTTCCAGGTTGGAAGCCTTCTTGGCCTAAGACAGGCCACGCTCTGGCCTAGCTGTTTGTTGAGAAACTGCCTGTTGGAGTTCCCAGCTAGCACTGGAGTTATTTAAGCCTATAATTTAATGTGGTATGTGTGTAAAACACAAACATTATCTTCCTACCGTGTATTGTTTTTTGATTTGTAGTAGTAGTGTAGACAGTCATTGCAATGATCTGGTCCAGGCCCACCACATCCTACTTTACTACATTCTGCATTGCATGGACCTGTCATGAAAAGTTAAAAAAAATCACTGTCATTATTACTCATTAACTATTAGAAATTAGTTGTGCTCAATCATGTACTTGATTGGGCAGTTGAGAGGACAAAAAATGAATTCATTCAAAGACTTCAATAATCTGTAGCTCAAGTGATCTCTTTTCTGCCTTTGAGTCATTATCCAAATTTTTTGTAAGTGCGGCATATTCGAAAGGGTCTACTAAGGCTTAACACAAATACACTGATGGACAAAGCCATAATGAGCAGTTTTGGTGCCTGTGGTGGTGCTGCCCTATTTGTTAAGCTTGAGTCATGTGAGACTGACATAAACAGAGAAAGCACTGAAAATCGGGAAGAAACGTCTGGATCTAAGCATGCAACAGCGATTTTGGTTCCACATCCTGTTGTTTCCTTCTGCCTGGAGAGGAGCAGCTACACCCTTAGGGCAGATGGGTTCATGTCTTTCCAGCAGTAAATACCAATGGGAGAAGTTCACATCCTTCTAGCAACAAATTTTTGCATTCTCTGCATTTCAACACCCTGGATCAAAGTCCCTTTCACCTCATCTTAATTATGTCTCTGCTGATGGAAACATTTGACATACAGTATAATGCCCAGTGTTACCTGCATAGTCATCTGCGCCATAATCTTCCGTGGGTTCTTCTATTGGACTTGAGCGTACTCGTTCAGCTTTTGGAAAATCATTCCTTGGTGAGTAAGGCTGAACAGAGGTCCCATAAAGTACCAATGACCATTCTTTCAATTTACCTGGATGAGAAGCACACAAAAAAGAGATACTACAAACCGTTTTTATGCATTAAGGCTGGGTTTCATCAGAGGGTTTTTTTTTTTGGTTGCATCAAGAACTGGTTGAGTTTCAGGCAAACTCCTGAAACTGACCAGGATCCCTCAGTTCTGCCCCCCCCCAAAATCAGGGGGGGGGAGAAGGACAGTGCTAGGAAAAGTAATGTCTGAAGCAGCAGAAATGACAAAAGGGGGGAATGGGATCGATGAAGGCTGGTTCCCCCTCTGAAGTTGCATCTGAGTGCACAGGCCGAGGAGGAAGCCATCTTGGCAAAGAGCTGGGAACACCCCCAGCAGAAAGTGAAAGAGCACAAAAGGATGTTGGAAATCTCAACCAGAATCTGAGTAAGTTAAAATAGTTGTTTATCTAAGGAAAATCTTCATGGACCCAAATAACTACACATTAAAGAGATAGATATAGAGTCAGCAAAATGGACTTTACCTTTTAAAAAATCTTACTGTCATGGTAGAAGCAAGCCCCACCCCCTTTAATTTGGATCGGGAGAAGAAGAGGAGACAAGAGAGAAAGGGAGAAGGGGGAGAAAACTACCTTGTCATGAAAGTAGAGCAATCTAAGATAAAAGCCTCGCTCCTGTGACTATTTGAAATATTGATATAAAATCCTATTTACTTCAAAGCATTGTGGATCCTTTAAATTTTTATTGTTGTGACTTGGCAACTGTGAGAACTTTCTACCAGAGGGAAGCTCCACCTCCCTCTTGGATCAGGCATGTAAATAAAACTGAGAAAGAAAAGTAAGATTACAGCGACATCTGCTGACAGAAGACCTAAACAGAATTCCTTATTTACTTAAGAAGATGGGGGGGGGGAATCAATATGTCAACAAAAGGTGGAAAAGAGAGAACTCAAAGAGGCTCACCAGCCACAGGATCAGAATCTCAGTGGGATATTGGGGAAAGAGTCATTTAAGGACTGGCAATAGAGTATTCAAGAGATGTTATCAACAGGACTACAGCAACTACAAGGAGGGATGGCTCAGTTATGCATACAAATGAAAGATTTGGGGATGCAAATGACTGATATTAAAAATCAAATTACAGAAAATAAAAAACTAACTGGCAGAATAGATGGGACATCAAAAAGAATAGAGGAAAGACTGGAGACCTTGAATACAGAGATGGGAGAGCTAAAAAAGGAAAGCAAACAAGATGAAATTACTCTGTTAAATCTACAAATGGAAAGAGCAAATGCCATACTTAGATTCCAGAATCTACCAGAACAAAAAGGAGAAGACACAGTGCAAGTGCTTACTACTTATTTAGTATCGCTCATAGAGATGCGACCATAGGATGTTCAACAAAATATAGACACAGAATGAAGAATTAATCCAGAATACACTAGGAATAAAAATATCCCCAGAGAAATTCATGTTACATTTACAAGAAAGATCTTTCGAGATAAGGTTCTAAGAAATATACAAAGTAAGGAACATAATAGAAAATATAAAGAAATTAAGATCTTGAAACATATTCTGTGGCAAAAAAGACAGAAAAGGAGACAATATGAGGAGCTGACATCCCTCTTGAGAAGAAACTCAATTATGTATAAGTGGTTGGTGCCTGAAGGTGTCCTCTTTGAATTCCAAAACTGAATGCAGATTTTATAAAAACAAAGGAGAAGTGGCTGGGCAGGAAAAAAAGGAGAAAAAAGCAGATGAGAACAATGAAGATAAATCAAGTGGACCATTAGGATCAGAGGCAGAAAGAAGCTCGACTTGAGCAGAAGAGCAAGCGAGAAGCCCTAAAGGAAAGTGCACTATAGAAAAATGAAGATCCAGGAAGAGGAAAGAAAACCTCAACAATAAAAATGGACAAAATGAATAAAATGGTTAAAGACTGTAGGATATACAGTGGTGCCTCAACTTACGAACATCCCTACTTATGACCATTTTGAGTTACGACCAGCTCCGGCAAATTTTACTTCTATTTGCGACTAGAGCTTTCACTTACGAACAGAAAAAGGCAGGGGGCAAAGGCAGGAAATTCAAATTGCTAACTGTAGGTGGTGACAAGTCTGCTTCTTTGTAGCTCTTTCGCCCCAGCAGTTAGAGAGTGTGCATCAGAGGAGGCTTGGAACTGCCTCCTTCTGCTTCTGAGTGAGCTTGTGTGTGTGTTTGCAGGGAGGCTTCGGGCTGCCTGGTAAGGTAAGGTAAGGTCCTGTTTTCTGCTTTTTAAAAACGGTTCTGGAAGTTTTTGCAGCATGGTTTTGAGCTCGGGGTTATGTTTCTGTGCTGTGATGGGTCTTGGGTGGATTGTTTGATTTGGGGGTTCCCCCCCATTTCCGATGGGTCTTGGGGCTTTTTGTCGCTTTTGGAGTGTTTTTTCCCATTTCCGATGGGTCTCGGGTAGTTTGATTTTTAGGGTTTTTCCCCATTTCTGATGGGTCTTGGGGGGTTTGGTTGCTTTTGGGGGGTTTTCCCTCATTTCCAGTGGGTCCTGCATGCTTCCCTTGCTTTTTCCTTTGTTTTCTTTGCATTTCCAACCTGCCCCCTTTATTCTCTGTCCATTTCTGATCTGCTCTGTTTGTTTTCTGTGCATTTCCAATGGGTCTTGCACACTTGATTGCTTTTCTCCCCCCCCCAGAAGGGATTAATCACATTTCCAATGCGTCTTGCATTTATTATTTTGTGTGTGTGTGTGTGATTTTTTTCTTTGGCCGAAACGGATTGATTGCATTTCAATGCATTCCTATGGGAAATGGTGCTTCAACTTACAAACATTTCAAGTTACGTCCATCTACTGGAATAGATTATGGTTGTAAGCCGAGGCACCACTGTAATGGGTATAAAATGGTAGAAGATTATTCATGTTTAAAAATCAGTAACTATTAAAGTAAATGCAGATAAGATGTTTCACAGATAATATATAATAATATAATTTATTGTCATTGTAAGTATATACACAGTATACCATACAACGAAATTCACAATATGATTTAGTGATGGTACACAACGCCAACAAAGTTTTAAAAAACGATATAAAATATTTTTAAATAGTGTGGGAAACATTAAACACAGGAGACTTTTATTATTTTGTGTGGATATGTAGGGAATAATTTCATAATTACTCAAAAGATAGACTAGAAAGCATAGATTAAAGGAGAATGTGAAGGTCTAATCAGGGAATAGATAGATTAGTAACTATAGTAATACAGGAAAACTTGCTGTTTTTCCTTTTATCTTTTTAGTATAATTGTACAAGTTGATGTAAATGTACTATCTGGAATTTTACACTTTCCCTATCCATACTTACCCCCTAACCCTAAATTCCCTTCCCCATAATCCTACCCCCGTTGAAAAGAATAAAACATGAGAAATTGAAGCATCTTAAATTTTCAAAGTTGTCCCAATTTTAAACAGAAAAGCAATGTTTGAACTGTAATGGTTATGCCTTATAAATATCATTATTACCATTGTCACTAACCCTTTGAACAAACCTATTGATTACAAATTTGTAATCAATTATTTGTCTGCAAGGCATCTTTTACTAACTTAGGAGAGGGGTACCTGCATGCCAACATATACTATTGTTATTATGAAGTATGCTATATATTAAATCTCTGCCATCTTTTGGCACCAACTTACAATTCAGTATGGGGTTAGTCAGTGGCTCTTTTGAGGGTTCAAAAATGTTTTACCCTGTTTAATTTTTCCCAGACTTCTGGAGGTGCATGGTGCAGAAAATTATGCTGTTAGGTCACTTTGCAAGGATGTATGGAAAAGCAGCAGCTAAGGTGCTTTAGGGCCTCCTTATGGCATCTTCATTGTGACTAGGAGTCCCCAAGTCCTCCAGCTGCCTGGAATTATGAAGTACCAGGAAGAAGTGATTCTGCCTGGCCTCTTCAATGTATGGTTTAGAGAAGAGTGTTGTGATTTCTTTATTTTATTTATTTATTTTATTTATATCCCGCTTATCTAGTCAACTCAGGACCACTCTAGGCAGCTAACAAACATTTAAATGCTAAGCTCGGTTAGCCTAAATCTCACCTATTCAGGTGGGTTAGCTCTCTGCCACTATTGTTTCCCTCACTGTGATGGCGCAAATCCTGTTGTTGCTGCAATAAAAAAAAGTTGTATCTCAGTTTGCATCTCCGTATATCCACAGCAAAATGATTCACAGATACAAGTTGCTGCTCTGGCCTGCAGTGATGGCTGGTGAAATAATGTGTTGATTACCACAGGGAACTCCTGTGATGCTTCAAGTGTTGGTGGTGGAAGAAGAAGAGGGAATTTCTGTTTAAAATTTTAAGGAGACAGTAGCCACCGAAGTGAAGCACCATTTCAACACATAGTTGCTAACTTTATAATCATCAGTCCTGGTGCCGGCATCTGGCACCTGCATAGGATAATTATCCCAGTATAGCAGTGATATGGTTGCAAAATGCTGTCTGTAGTATTTTCTGTTTTAATTTCTTGGCATGTAAAGCTGTCTGTAGAAAATCCTCCCTGCTATCTTTCTTGTGGAATGCATGGACGCAAAATCTGCTGAAAGTGTCATTGTATTACTGTGAACTGTAGGCTCTAAAATGTAAATCAGCAAGGCAGAACAACACTGTCTAAAGTATCAGAACCAGAGGTTACAATAATCTGTTTCTGATGACAAGAGGCACAGAATCTGGATTTTTGCTGGCATGCCATCTACAGATTCCTGTTTTTTCTGCAGATACCCTGGCTGAGCTCACAGAGGCAGTTTTGTGTTTGTTGTGATTCCTCTAATTACTGCTGCTGGAAAACTTAAAAACCACCCTAGGGCCACATTGCCCAGACCAAGTTTTTAAAGCTATGATAACAATAATGAAGTATCTCTAGTTTATCAGAAGCATCACATATGCTGCATGTTACTATATGAAATCTAACTGTTCAATTCTGGTGTGAGGTCTTTGAGGTGCTAGTGTGTGTTCTTTTGTAACTTTGGCACGGAACGCAGGTCATTAACTGATCAATAAATGTTGACCAGATCATTACCTTATCAACAACTTATAGCCATGCCTGGCCATAACTTCAAAGATTTTCAGCCTTTGGTGGAACAGAGACTGTTTAGAATGGTTTGTACCTGGAAATTGATGACTCCAAATGGCTCCAGAATGTGGTGGGGGAATTTCACTGTCAGTGCAAACATTTTCACTAAAATTGTTGTGACCAATATACTAAATGGCAGTCTCACATCTTAATATAATGCTCTTGTTCTCAATCTTCTCACTAGAATGCTCTACCAAAGTCTCCTTCAATTCAACAGACAGTTCCAAGGAACACAGCAGCAAATTAAACAATGGAAATGTATGATAAAGAAGACTCACTTTCAATCTAATAGAAATTTACAGTCCGTTTTAAGGTTTATGTTGTGCCAATGATAGGAAGAATTAATTTATTCACCACCACCATATTATTTATGCAGAATTCAACAGCAGAGGCTATTACAATGAAGACTAATTCTGGCTGCATTGACTAACCCTTTGAAATTGAATTGCCTGCTGTAAAGACTATAAATGTATTACTGACTGAGGCTGCAAAGTCAATAGTATTGAAGAAGGCAAATATCAGTTCATTTCTAAAGCAAGTTATGCATGATGCAGCAATGGGTTGCAACTAATCTCATGTCAAGCTTTGGTCACCTTGGTGGATGACCTTTCAGGAAGAAAATTAAAAGGAAACCAGATATCTTATTCTAGGATGTATTATTATTATTATTATTATTATTATTATTATTATTATTATTATTATTATTATTATTATTATTATTATTATTATTATTATTATTATTATTATTATTATTATTATTATTATTATTATTATTATTATTATTTGCTCCTACACAAGAGTAGTTGCCTTGGACAGAATAGGGATTCTGTTGGGGCACCACCCACCCCACTGCACAATAGTCTCCCTGCCTGAGCTGGCTGATTTAGTCTTGGGTGTTGTGCTGCAGTTGCCTTGGCTTGTTGTGCTGGGCAACTTCAACAACCATGCAGATGTCTACCATGACAACCATAGTTCTATTCCAAGTAGTTTCTGGGCCCACTCATGTTGCAGGACATACTTTTGACATGGTTTTCTATAATGGGCAGGATGGTGATGATCTGGGTGTGCAGGAACTCCTTTGTAATGGACAGGTCACTGCTTGGTAAGGTTTAAATTTATTGGAACTCTGAGCCACACGGGGTGGGGGCCCCAATTAAAATTGTTCATCCTAGGAGACTGATCTACCCAAATGGTTTCCTGACAGCTTTGGGGGAGTTTCTGGCTGTCTTGGCAGGTGATTCTGTCAAGGCCATGGCATAATCTTTGGAATACAGAGGTGGCCAGAGCTATTGACATGATTGCTCCTAAGTGCCACTTTCCATGGAGTGCAGTCAAACCGGCTCATTGGTTTACTAGGGAACTGGGGATGATAAAACAAGTGGGACAGAGATTAGAGCAACAATGGCAGAAAATGTGAACCAGATCTGGATCAAACACAGATCAGAGCTCATTTGGATGCCTATTCTGTGGCAATTCTTCTTTGCCACCATTGCATCTGCACAGAGCCATCCACCAGAGCTCTTTTGGGTGGTCAAGGACCTGTTGCACAGATGGTCACAAGAAAAGGAAAATGATCACTCAATGGCCTTCTGTGAAGAGCTTGCATGGCACTTTGCAGATAAAATCATTCAGATCTGCTATGACTTACTGTAGATGCTGCAGTTGACATAGGCCCTGTTGATATAACTTTGGCCCCTGCTTGTCCTGTTATAATGGATATGTTTCAGTTGGGGCAGCCTAAGAAAGTGGAAAGCATCTCTAGAGAGATAAAAGCCATCATGTGTGTACTGGACTCTTGCCCCTCTTGCCTTATAAAAACAGCCAGAAACTAGCTGACGGGGTTAAGGAAATGCTTGAATGCTTCCTTCCAACAACACAGGGTACCAAAATGTTGAAAGGAGGCAATAGTAAGACCTTTGTTTTAAAAAACCCTCCTTGAATCTCATTGTATTGGGTAATTATTGGCCAGTCTCCTATACTCCATTTTTGGGCAACGTTTTGGAGCATGTGGTGGCACCCCAGTACCAGAGGTTCCTGGATTTAGGTCAGTAATTCCCAACGTTGAGTAACCTAAGTGTTTTTGGGCTGTAACTCCTAGAAGCCTTCACCACTAGCTGTGCTGGCTTGGGTTTCTTGGAGCTTCAGCCCATTTCAATCTGGCTTCAGGCCTAGTTGTGGAACATAAACAGCTTTGGTCACCTTGGTGGATGACCTATGCCAGGAACTGGACAGGGGGAGTGAGTCACTGTTGGTTCTGCTGGACCTCTCAGTGATTTTCAAAACCATTGGCCACAGTATCCTTCTGTGGCACCCTTCTCGGTCTCGGAGGGTCTTCTGGGTCTTACAATGGCTCCAATTCTCCCTGGATGGCCAAACTCAGAAGGTAGAATTGAAAGAATCTTATTTGACACCCTGGACCAAGAAACCAGATTGGACCAAGAAATCAGATTGGCTCCCTCCAACTTGTCTTTCTGTTGTCAGGCAAAGAACTTGCTTTACAGGCTGGCTTTTAAGTAATAAACAGGGGCTTGGGGAACACTCTGTTTTTGAAATTTAGGTATTTTTAATTTTTTTAAAAATAATTAATATTGTTTTTAATCTTGACCAATGTTGCATTGTTTTTTAATCAGCCAAATCTTGATCTCTCTCTTATTTTTCCTTCTTTATTTTACTGCTGTTGCTGTTTGATTATTATGTATTTGTCTATGTTTTTATTATCTGATTTTATATTGGAAGCCGCCTAGAGTGGTCCGGTGGGCCAGATAGGCGGGGTATAATTCAAATAAATAAATAAATAAATAAATAAATAAATAAATAAATAAATAAATAAATAAATAAATAAATAAATAAATAAATAAATAAAGTTTTGTATGACATTTTTTCATGTATTACTGTATTATATGATTTTAATTATTGTGAGCCACTTTGGGTCCCCAATGGGGAGAAAGATGGTATATAATAAACAAACAAACAAACAATCAGGCAAGCAAGCACTCAGGCCAGGTTTTGAAACATGCACATTACAATGGCCTTTGTATATAACAAAAACAAAGGAGGCATGATCTGCTAATTCCAGACTTCCCAGCGTTCTTTGGAAAAGTGACTATCAGATCCTCCTGGATCATCTGTAATGGTGGGGACACGATTGCACAGCGATTGCACTATCTCCTGCCACAAAGTAATCTTGTAACAACTCTTCTCCCCCACTAGCTTTGTCCTGTATGTTGCTATAAGATTATATCTTTTTTCTATATGTTCCTTAATATCAGCATGTAGCCATATGGGGAGATTTTCCGAAGCCTTATTCTTTGTTAACAGATCTGGAAGCTCTGGTGGAGTCCTCAAATGAGTGCTTCTATGTGTTTGGGGGAACAATACATAGAAACTTACTCCTGACAAGAGAAATATGCTAATGAAACACTGACTTAAGCAAATGGGTGTCTCAGTTGTTTCACATTTATATGAATGAGTTACAGTGATCTGCATGCAACCTGTGTTGCTGATTGACATTTAAGTGGCAGCAATGGCAAGACCTTCTTTGCCAAGTTCACCTGATAAATGGATTGTGGTTGTTCCTCTTAAATAATTTTGGCTCAATTTTTAATGCCTTAATAAATCTGTTTTTTGATTATCACAATCTATTCTGTGTACTGTATAATGCTTTTATAAATGAATTGGAAGTTCACAGATTCTTGCAGCCCACCTTTGATAAGAATTAGTCACAGACAAGAAGTAGCTCAAAATTTTAGTTCAGCTTCACTTATGGTGCTTATCTCCTTTCAAACTCAACCCAGATCCTTACAAGGCTGTGTCCAAAAGAACATCAGGAAATGTCTTCTCTTATAGGTTCCTGACATATATTTAGATATAAAGGAGCATCAATCCACATAACACATAATGAAATGCAACCTATGGTTTCAGACCTATATATAAAAAAGCAAAGTGTGCTGCTTATATACCACCCCACAGTGCTTTAAGCGCTCTCTGGGCAGTTCACAAGTTCATTATGCAGGCTACAAATTCCCCCCCCCCAGCAAGCTGGGTACTCATTTTACTGACCTCGGAAGGATAGAAGACTGAGTCAAGCTTGAGCTGGCTACCTGGGATTGAACCCCAGGTTGTGAGCACAGTGTAGGCTGCAGTAAAGCAGTTTAAACACTGTGTCACAAGGCTCTTATAACCTATGCCATTTATGTATCACTTAATAAAAATGATTTTAAAAGAATTTCTCCTCTTCTATATTTGATTTGAGCTCAGACTCATACTCCAACTGTTTTGGCTTCATGATATGTTTGTTTTGCTGGCTTTCTGCTGCTCTCAGATCTTAAGAAATGTTAGGTACATAAAGAAGACATCCAGGATTACAAATGCACATGCTAAAATTCGTACTTTTGTATATTTCTGCACTAGTATTTCAATCTAAAAATATGCCTATTATATTTATGTTAAGTTCCTCTGATTCAAGAAGTCTATTCTGGCTGAGACTAACAACTGGTTTTAGCCCAAGAGACAGCAGAAAATGGACTGTGGTGTGCTGACAGAAAATACATTACAAAAAACCATTGTCATTATTTTCCAAACCTACCAAAATCAAGGAAAGACTAGAAGAATTGATAATATCCACTGTTAAAGTCATATATAAATTCGAAGATCTCTGTGCCCCAACCACCAAACCCGAAGGACAAAATCAGAAAAAAAATCTAGTGGAAAAGATGACTGGCCATATTTGCCCCAGATAAAACAGAAATATGTAAGTGCAATTATTAAAATAAATTTAATTTGAATAGTTATTAATGATTTCTTCATCACAGAATGTAGAAGCATATTACCAACAAAATAATGGAATTAATACCTGGAGTTTTGACATTTCTCAGTTGTGACGGGGTATCATAAATTTCCAAAATCCAGTCTCCAGCTGCTTTTTCACCCCAGCAATGAGTAGTCATGAACTCCCAGTTTTTAAAACCTTCCATGGAATGGTCAAACACCCTTTAAAAGAAACAATAATAATATAAATTAACACATATAGAAATAAGATACATGTATTGTCAAAACCTGATAAGAATAACCGACTACCCCAGGGTTCGTACAATGATTTATAGACCTCTTAGGCAAAGAGAACAGATTCCATGATTCATCACAGCTGACATCCCAGTAAAGGGTTAATCCCAGAATGAAACCAGACCATCAATAATAAGCTTTTCCAGACACTGTTGTGATAATTACAGGCAATTGCAAAACTTGTGAATTCTGTGCAAGTTCTATTTATTTACATGATTTCTGGGTTCCACATGAAAAACTAATAAAGCCATCATCATCATCATCATCATCATCATCACCACCACCACCACCACAACAACAACAGTTTTATAATTGTAAAACAACAACAATTACAGGCACATATGCTTAAATAAAAATGTCATACAGTTATGTAAAAACTATAGGCTTAAAATACTTCAGAAACTATAAAAACTGAACATAAGCTTTGGATAAATAAGTTGAAAAATACATTTCAACTGTAAGCATATAACTATATAAAGTCCAGACAAGAACTTTATTCATATTTAAATCAAAAACACAAAACCATTAAAACACAGGAGCTCACAGCCTACAAAGGCAGAAAATACGTCTTTATCAATTTCATTTAAACGCAAAAAGCAATATAATTCCAAAAGCTTTCTTAAAAATACATTAAATAATATCAAAGTTCTTATAATAAGAAAACACAAAATAAAAAGCATTATTTAGCTCTAAGCATGTTAACACACAGGGAATTTTTTTTAATTACGCGCTTAGGCAGTTAGACAGGGAATTTTTTTTTAATTACGCGCTTAGGCAGTTAGGATGAATGGCTATCTGCTGTTATCTCATGGCTGTTCTCAGATTTTTCATAAGATAAAGCTTGTCTCCTTTCCATTCCTTTTGGATAAAGTGTTTCTCCATATATAGCAGTGTGTGGCTGCTCACAATTTATAGCCAAGTGCCACATCAGAAATCAAAATGAACTCTGCCATAGTCTGGCTCCCTCAGCCAATGAGAAGCTCAGATTTTGAAGACAGCAGGATATGCTCATCTCAAGGATTGCCCTTCCCAGATGGAGCAAAGTGCTTGGCCGTCAAGGTCAGAGTAACCCCCCTCCCTTGAGCTAATGCATGTTAGAATGATGTAATTTACTGATAATGCAATTCATTAATATTACAGAATATATTATTTTGACTCTTGTCAAAGCACAGTTACTATTAATCATGCGGATGAACCCTTATAAAATAGGTGACACCTTCTTTCCCTTCTTTACTTGCTTATCAACAAACAGCTTACAATAACATTCATCCTTTTCTCCTTTTACACTCTTTTGTAAAAGCCTCTATTGCACAAAATATTGCTGTTTTCATTTGTTTAATACAGGTTTCCACATCTATTTTGTGCTATTTCTTTGTTAATTAACATTATAGGTAAAACACAACACAAGCAGTAATTTAAATGCACTTCCTTTTATTTTCCTGTCATCTTTATTTCATATAATGCAAGCCCTCAGTTGTTTACTTTTTTCATTGCAAAAATGCACATGTAACTGAATGAGCTACTTCTGCCCTGTTATCCTCTCAGTTTTTGTTCCAAAAACAGGCGGCTGTTTTGTAAACAATATTTCCAGCTATAGTTTTCAATAACACTTTCACTTTTAATGCATCTCTCGGAGGCAGATTTTAAAAGGCAGTTTTCATTTTTAAAGCAACACCTTTGCAATTTTTAAAAATTCTAACACTATGTATGCATACATAGATGGACATCTATATTTCTGAAGATCTATAATTCTGTTGGTGTGTGTATTGAGTCCGCAGTATAAAATATAATAAATCTACATATTTAGTTCCATTTGTGGATCCAGTTACAATCGCTATATAATGCCCGTTGTATAATGCAATTTGTAGCCTGAACCCACAGTTCACATTCATCCACTCTCCTGCTCTCAACATATGGAGCCCCTCATGCATGCATACACATACACATAAAAACATGAGCACACACAGAGAGAAATCTCTTTCCCCTTTCTTCCTCACAGAACTTACCAGATCCTCTTTCTTCTTCTGAATTACCGCTAAATTCTTTCTCTCTCCCTCTCTTTTTTCCCCACACACATGCAACTCCCATTCAATCATGCACCCAGCCATATTTTTGCTGGCCTCTCTGACTCTACTTCACGCTTCTTTGATGCCTCCTTCTGGCTTACCGCTATCTAACCTAAGTGCCTATGCTGCTGTGTCTCTTTACCTCCCAGAATATTGGCTTCAAGACACTGGTTCCATTTTTTCTATAAAGGGAAAGGAATGCTGAGCAGAAGGAGCAGTGATGGCTGGCATAATTTTGTGAGGCTGGAAAAAAACATATGTTGCACCGATATTAAGTATGATTGTATGAAACTATTTTCTAACAGTGACAAAATGTGTTTTTTTCAAATGCTTGCATATATGTAACAAATTACTACAGTGGTGTCACGCTAGACGATCACCTTGAAAAACGGTTAATCCGCAAGACGATGGGTTTTTGCAATTTAGCGCTTTGCAAAATGGTTTTCACTATGGGCATTTTTCGCTGGTCGATGCTTTGCAACACGGGTTTTTTTTTCAGGACGGTTATTTGCAAGACGACAATTTTAACAGCTGGGTCCACAGCTCGCAAAATGTTTTTTTAGGGACGGTTTTTCACAAGACAGTGATTTTGACAGTTAGGTCCACACTTCGCAAAACGATTTCTCTATGGGCGATTTTCGCAAGATGATTTTTCCCCCATTGGAATGCATTAAATGGATTTCAATGCATTCCAATGGGGAACCGCATTTCGCAAGACAATGTTTTCACAAGACAGCGATTTTCACGGAAGGAATTAACATCGTCTTGCAAGGCACCACTGTATAGGCTTTTTATCTGCTTTATACTGGATTGCCTTTTCACCTGAACTATTCTTTCCTGATTTACCACCACCCCTTCCCTGAGCGAGATTATAATCTTGGTATGAAATAGAGGCTTTGACCCCTTGCCTTCTCCATGGTCATAATCAGAACTACTCCTCTCCATGCATGTGCAATGGGACGAAAGCTCCTACTGGTATCATATAGCAAGGAAGTACAAGGTGTGGGGGGGGTGGCGATTCTGACTGCACCTGTGGTCAGGGCAGGTGCTAAAACCAGATCAATGTTCTCCAGCAGCAAAGATGGTGAGGGAAAAAAATCTCAGTTGAAGATCTAGGTATCATACTGTGGAGGAACTCCAGAAAATCCATGTTTCTTTGCTTTATAATTATCCACCCCTTTGCATTGAGGCAGAATACCCTATGGCTGAATTCCAAAAGTCACACTGAAATGATACCTTTGGTTGGCCAACCAGAAATTTGCAAGTGTATAGAAGCACCAAAACAAACAAAAACCCAAACACACATACACACAAACAAAAGCAAGTTTTGGGGAACACATTTCCTTCATCAGGTGATAAGTGGGAAGATGAATTGGAGGGAAGAAGAACTGATTTTAAATCCTTGTTGGCTACATGTTATGCCAAGATGTGCTGGATGAATGATGTGACAGACAAAGGAAGGGATTTCATCAAGTGGTGCAGTGTTCTTAGGCTTCATCCAGGGTAGCCCACAGACTCACCAAAGACTGGAAAATTAGAAACTTTAAATTAAAGTTTAAACCACAGTTCAGTAATCTTGGCAGGTCCTCTCCTTCTGTCACTGCCATTGTGGGTGCCAATGCAACAAAGATACGCATCCTTAGAAACAGCAATGCAAAATCATGGCTTCAGACTAGGTCCAATTGCTCTCAGTTATGCATGACTGTTAGTTTAATTACACAAAGAATGGGAAGTCCTCCTGCAAGGAGGTGTTGGATACTTCCTTCTGCAAGCATGGAAAAAGCACAATTGCATGCATGAATGCGAGTTGTGCAAGCCTAGTGGAACAACTGGTTCACTATGATTTACTATAACTCTCAGGTTTTGTAGAAGTTCTTCATACTAGATCCACTGAGGGTTAGCAACAGAACACACGTTTACAGGAACATATTTTCACAAGTTGTTCCCCACAGATTAAGAACATACGGTTACTATTATAAATACACCTATATATGATACAACAGGAAATGAAATGTATGTGTCTCAAAATATTAATTTCCTATGAGTTATATCCTTCCTGCCTGGCTCATCCATTTGTGTTTTGTGATTCTCTCAGAAGGACAGACAGCTGTAGTTTTTCCCAGTGTGTTCCCACACCTTACATCCATCCACTACGTTGCCAGCATTCCTTTTGGGAAATGCCTGGATATGTTATCCTGTACACTACATCCTGCCTGCCCATGTCTCTTATTTTTGCTGTATTTATTTTCTCCAGAAAATAATGGATTTTTGATTAAGATTACAGTCAATAGCCATATAGTTATGAATAATTGCCACAAAAGTCAGTATGACCCACCTCTGAGCTGCCAGTTTTAGGACTGAACTGGAAGGGTACATTGCATTTGACACTGTATGCTAAAAGGCATAGACTAAAGAATCCATCTTCATCTCAGAAAATATGAGCACTATTCTATCAGATGAAACATGTCTGATAACTGCACTATTTTGCTGCTTGAAAAAAACAAAAGTAAATATATTCCTTCCTTCTGCTTTATCTTGCTGCTTCTTAGTTTCTACCAATACTTACACCCACCGAAGGAAAAAGAAGTATTTATTTTTCATTCACAGAATGCCTGCTTGAAATGATGCTAATGCACTGCAACAGGTCTTGTTTCTGTCAATTATGTCAGTAGGAACACTCAGAGGCTTGTGGGGTGGGCACTTGTCAACATCTACTTCAGACAGATCTGACAAAGGTATTCTGTAGCAAGGAGCCTGGGGAACCTATACGGAATTAGTAATTGGGAAAAAAGTTTTAAAATAAGGAAAATACTGGAGATTTCTACTGAAAAGCTAGAATGGAACATTGCAAATCAAGTAGCT